ATATCCTTACCTTACGCTAGTCCACCTATTTATTATCATAGTTCTCTCGATTTTCTCAGAAGTGAGAGTAGTATTCTACCATTTGATAAGAAGAGAGAAGAGGGTATACTCATGAACCTCAAGAGCTTATTGATAATCATATTCTCAGCTACGGAATTTTTTTGACTGGAAGGAATATAAGTAGTAGGGATATATGTATAAAGAGGGCGCAATGTTTACTCAACCTTGTATGCATTTTCAAAAAGTACATAGTTTTTGGCATTTATGATAGAGCAAACAACAGTTGGAGGGTTTCCTATACTTTGGAATACTTTGTTTTAAATCCAGATGGCCATATTATATGCTTTCCAGTCTTGATCGAGAGCAAGATAATGTTTTTTCTTGTACGACGTCCTTCAGAATAGTATCAGGATCTATACAAGTACGATATCAACATCAATGTGTACTAAAATGTTGTGCTTCTAGAATCACTTGATTATCCCATGTATTGCTTCCACCAAACATTAGCTTGTGTACAAAAGAATCCCTCCAATTATGTAACGGCTGGTCAGCAGGCGTATATTGATGAAAAGTTTGCTAGCATCAGAAGATTTATTATCAAAGGTACCAACTAGTTGAACTTTAAGGCTTAAGTATTTAAGTTCATACCAGAGAAGGATTTACATGACAAGAGTAGCTTGAAAATAGTTTAATAGGCAAGGAATATAATAATTTATGTGGCGTATGCACTTAGTGATCTTTACCATACTTATGACACATTACTGAATTCTGTAATGAGTTTCACAATAAAAATCACCGAAAATGATTTTTCAGATTCTTATAAGAAAGGCCAAAGTCATCTGTGGCCCCTTAAAGTTGTCGTCATTATTCATTTACACACCTCAACCAGACTTAGTAACTATTAGACACTTTAGTATTAACAAATGTGTGTCTATTGAACAGAAAATGATAATCAACATAAAAAACATTTTGCATGTAATTCACACGCTGTACTTTGATAAAGTTACTAATAACATTGTGACACGTGGTCAATAACTCAATCTAACCTTAAGAAATGAACTTTTAATTTTGAAAGATAAAATAATTTCCAGCCCTAATTAATCTAATCCCACCTACTGAAACCCTTGTCGTTCTTCTTCTCGCCACTCACCGCTCTCGATTCCTCCGGCAAACCACCTTTTTTTTTCTTATTACTCCTACACTTTGTGTGCATAGCAAAGTAATTTTTGAAATGCTTGTAAAAAATAAATCGACATGAATCATTTTGAAATTATTAGCGATGAGAAATCAAAAATATTAAAATTAATTCTATGGAATTTATGATATTATTTTGTAACTATAAACTTATTAGTTTACATTTTAACGGTAATGTCTGTTTAGAGTGCCAAAAATAGAGATGGACGGAGGCCATAGACCTTTTTTTAATCAATAAGTAAATATATATATATATATATATATATATATATATATATATATGAAAAGGAATAAAATAATAAAGATAAAAATTTGCATAAAGTTTGGGCGAAGAAGACTATGGCTGGAAGTGGATTCAATTTCTTTTCTTCGTCAAAAAATTAGTTTTAAAGAATTTTATAGTAATATTAATGCCAAGTGTTTGATAAAACAAAAAAATTACAATTTTTTAAAATCAAATAACCTAAAATGTTATTTGAATCTATTCACGCGCCTAATAATAGGTGAGGTACACTTGTTTTGCCACATCAGCGTTTTGTGTTTAATAGGAACATGTGTTAAATAATTTAGGTGTTCAACAGGTATAAGTCATAGTTTAGGTGTCTAAGTGAATTATGTGGACAACTTTAAGAGGCCGCAGACGACTTAAGCCTATAAGAAAGAATGTTTTGTTGTTTAATATCCCTATGGTCATGTATATTTAACACTCATTGTTAAGATAATGAAGTGCATATGTCACACCTCTTATTATATTATTTCTCTCAACTATTGTGAAGGTAATCTTTTCATGTATCTCATTCTGTGGCATAAACTGAATGACTAAAGCCTTAAACATCAACAAGCTGGCCCCTTCGATAATAATTCTTCTAATGTCTTCCAACTTTTCAGCAATATACGCCTATTGAGTTGTCGTTACATAAATGGAGGGTGTCTTATGGACAGAATCTAATATTTGGTTGAAGCAATACATCTGATGATAAACATTGTCTAGACCTGCAACACTTTTATACACATTGATGTTGGTATCATAATCTTCTAGATCATTATATTGTTTTGTGGGACGTCGTGCAAGAAAAAGACACTTTCTTTCTGTCAATCCAGACTGAAAAAGCCTATATATGTCCATCCGCATCTAAAGTAATGTTGTCCAAGGTTTTGGAAACTCTTCAACAGTTACTTGCTCGTTCATAAGTTCTAATGACTATGTACTTTCTTAAAATACATACAAGGGTAGGTAAATTTTGGGCCCTACCTAGCAATATATCCCTACCACTCATATTTTTTTCCGTTCAAATTTCATTGTTGACATCATAATGATCAATAAAATTGGGAGGCCCAATGAGTATACCGTCTTATTTCATTGTATCAAGATCTAGAACACTAACATCACTACTGACAAAATAAATAAAATAATGTCAATATACAGGTGGACTACAGTAAGGTAAGGATATGAAACTATTTGTTCTAAGTTTGATTTCACACCATAAGCCATATTGCTTCAAGGAAAGTAAGAGAAATTGTAGAACAACTTGAAAGTTAAACCAGGTTAACTTGTGGTTATCATATTGTGTTGATCTGCATTAGGGTAATAAACCACTAGGTCTGTTTTTCTGACTAATTTCTAGGAGCATTCAGATAAGGAATCGATTGACGCTCTCTAGTTAAGGGATTGAAAAAACAGTAACACCTATTTCTCTCAAACTCAAAGAAAATAAAACCATTATATGAACCAGAAAATCTATGCCACAAGATGAAGTCAGGAGATATTTGGGAGTTGTCTGATTAATCTCCCATCATCTACTTAAAAGATGAGTTGTGTAGTGATGATTTTTTTGTGTTGGAATAATGTTATGGAAAATTCACGATGAAATATCCTACCTTTAAAATTCTTGGATAGGTCATTACAATAAATAACAAACTTCAAGGGCATGAAGTAGATGATCTTCATCACTATATCTTTCAGAATTCATACACACATTGATTGACTACTGCGTTCCTCTGCTTTGTTGCCTTTTCTCCATCCCTTATTTCTTTCTGTTCTTTTTTTTGAGTCTATTAAGGAAACCAACAAATGTTTTTACCTAAAAAAAATTGTTTTAAATAGTATAAAATATTATCAGGGAAATCTCTGAAGTGATTCAATAGATTATTTTGAAAAATCAATGAACGAGATATGTGGCACCTATAATAAATCATTCTCATTAATAAATCTAAATAAAAAAAAGTATATATTTTTCAAATTAATTATATCCTGCATATGATTATATGTGTGCTTAATGATTTGTAAATTTTTTTAATTTATGATATGACATATCAAGTACTTAGAAAAAAGACTATTAGTAGCCAATGTAGAACACTAACACCCGCTTAAAAGACCAAGCCCAACTCTCACCTCAATTGGAGTGTGTATGGATATTCCAAATGGACATGACTATAATAACATGTAATAATATTAAACTTCAACACCAAAAGTAAGTTACTTAGGGGAATTTTATTACTTAATCGCATAATAGGTTCATCATTATTTTGTATCCTGCTCAATGCTCAAGTTGGGTTGATAGTGAAATGGGTGTTGGATTGAGTCAGAGTCCCACATTGGTTGCAAAACTAAATGGTTAGCTTACATGAATTTGAGCAATCCTTCTCTCATGATCAGTCATGTTCATCCTCATTTGATCTCCCATTTTGAGGGGTAATATATGGTGTTTTAGACGGGCTAAGATCCCCACAATAGTTTGACATTTGACTGATGATTTGCATATATGGCTTGGACAATCCTTCATTCATGAGCTAGCTTTCGATTAAAGTTAAATCTGTGTGCTATATCTTTACATTTTATATACTATATATAATTTTTTTTTATATTTGGTCTTATTTTCTATATTTATAATGTACCATACTTTTCATGCAACAACATTAACCCAATTGCAGGTAAATATTCACTGGGGGCCTTCTGCGAGAGACTCGCGAAGGGAGATGGCATTGAAGTAAGGCCTAACTTTAATCTATGTTACTTATTTTGACAAAAAATAACTGCCACTATTGTTGCAAAAATGAAATATATTGCCACTCAATATCTTTTTTGTTGTAGTAACTTGAGCTACTACAACTTTGTTCCTCCACACACCTTCTAAGGACCAAGTCATCTTTTATGTTTTGTCTATACATCAAAAGATTATTTCATCTAAGTTCAATGCAATTACTTCTGGTTCTATATGGAGAGAAAAAGGTGATAGATATATTATTTCAAGGTAAGCCCTCAAGTTATCTATGTAGGATATACAAATATGTCAATATTAGGCCCGATATCCTAAAGGAAAATTCTTCTTGAAAATCAACAAGGGGAACTATAAGAGGAATATTGAGAGTAATTACCCTCCGAAAAATAGTGTATCATATCATATTATAGATTTTAGGGACACTGATATACTCTTAATCTTCCCTGCAAATGTAATTTTGACACACTTACTATGGATAGTTCCATTTGAGCATAGGAAAACATTGGAACAAAATAAGAACACAATATGTGACGATGTTTAATTGGCAAAGTCATTATTGAGAAAATGGTTAACCTTATCTTTCTCTCTCTGGTGAGCTTGAGTTGACTTACAAAAAATTACACTTAGATGTCAAGGAAATTATATCTACTATTTAAACACTTGCATGTTTATTGTTAAGAGGAGTCTCTTATTTTTATTTGAATAAATAGAAGGTTCAATCAAATAGTTTCAAGAAAATTTAAAATTAAAGGTTCCCCAAATATCTTTGCCTGGCAATGCTAATATCTTTTATCAATTTGAATTCATCACTTAAAATGCACAAAAAATAAATGAAGAAGATTTTCTGCAAATGCAAAAGTCATATCTATTAGAATGTTTAAATATGTGCTCAAAATCATAGAAATAACAAATTATTATCATATTTAAATATTGATGAGTAGAAAGTCCCCAATATTTTTCTCCTCTTTCGACTGATTCCTATTCTTATGATGATTCTCTTCTTTGATGGAAGTACCTTGACGATTATATATACAAAATTGGAGAAGAATTAGAACTGATTTAGACTTTTAGGCTCGGTTGACGTTTTTTAAAACAAAATATGTAAGGAGTCTCTAATCCTGACTTGAATTCTAAAAAAATCTTCTGATATCATCTATGTTTGGTAGAAATATAAGCCTAACTATTAGTCATCACATTATAGGATGACGTCTCATTGACATATGCTAACGTTTGATGAAGGCAATACTCGGGATAAATACCTTTCTCAAATAATGCCGCATTTTTGTACCCTTTGATGTCAGTATCATAGTCTTATAGATCATAATACTTTGTTGATAAAGGATTGTGTACTTTCTGAAATTGAATATCCTCAGGGAAAGTAAACGTTGCACCCTCCATCATCATATAATTTCACCTGTAAAATTTTTATTTTAGCTTATATCATAGTAATCAAGAAAATGTAGTAGGCCGATCAGTATGTAGAAATTGTAGAATGATTTTGAATTTTCAACCAGCTTACTTATGGTTATCAATTTGTAGTGATCTGCATCGGGGTAGTTACTGTGTATAAGGTCAAGTTGCAACAATATATCTTCCTACTATTCCATGACATATTCTTCTTCCTCTCATGTCGTACCTTATGTTTGAATTTGGTTTCACTAAGGAGTTCATTATCAAAACCTATCCCCTCTCTTCTCATATAAATTTCTCCCATTAAGTAATGTGTTATTTTCAATTTTCATACTAACAAAGAATATATACAAGAGCAATGAAAAAATAATATTTTGTAATTGAAAAATCTAGGATGTTTGTGACAGGGGAAACTTATTGAATATAATTATTCCAAAATTATAATATTTCTACACTTTATGGTAGTTGTTAAGTTAGAAACTCAACACAATTTAAACGGATAAAACGAGGAAATATCACAAATATCAAACAGAATAGACATAATAAGGATCTAAGTTAGAGTTTAGCTAATTACTCTTCATAGCTATAGTTATATTTTCTAGAAAGGCTGTGGTTTATATATTTCTATATTTTTTTGTAGGAAAGCTATATGCACAACGGAAGAATACTATAATATTACTACTTACATGAATAATAGAAAATTAATACGTTTGTGCTAAAACATATAAAATTATGCTAGAATACATAAACTTGCTAAAATTTTATTCAATAATTACCTCTTGAGACGTATGGAGATACGTTAAAGTAAATCCTCAAGTTAGAAAGACATTAAAGGGATCCACAAGATAGGCATCGACTTTGCAATCTTTGATAATGATCCCGAGTGTTGTTAAGAAACATTAACAAAATCTGCGAGAAAATATGAAAAAAAATCCTTTAGAAAAACATTAAGATGCTTTAACCGAGAATGTCATATCTATTTTAACGATTCACAAATAAATCTATACCATCTGACAAATAATAAAAACAAATGAATTCAATAGCATTGGAGACTAGCAGAATGAAAAATAAATTTCAATAACAACTGCAATGAATGAAATAAAACAGGGCTGAAGTCTCTAGTGTGAAATAAACATTATTTGGAACTAACTGACAAAATATTCACAAAAATGTATCATGGCGATCAATGTACGAGGCTGAACATGAAACCTACTATTACTCCTACTATTCTCCTCTTTAAAATGTATCAAAGACCTGATTCGCCTTGATAAGGTAGTAGACAAAGGAAAGACATTTATAGTTGCACGCTGTTGAGGGAGTTGAAAAACCTGAAGAGCATATGTTTCTGGTTGTTATTCGAACACTTTTTCTTGTGTTACTGATGACTTTACCCAGTTCACTTGACTCATTAATGGTCATTGCAAGATACATTTGTTAACCTTTTTTCTCTACAATCATTTCTGAAAATCTTAAGTAGGTAATATCTTCACTTTTAATATCCTAATGAATAAAAAAGAAAATTGATTTTCTAGAAGTCACCAAAACTTTTTTATGGTGCTTTCCATAATTGTTACAGTTAAGACAAACGATATTGTTTTAGACGTAGAAAAAATATTTTTGAATCTCAAACAAGATCGGCTATAGTGGTTGTTGAAAAGAAATCACAATGAATTTTAACGTGAATAATGCAACTTTATGCACCTTAAAAAGATCAGCAGGGAATTGCGACATAATTTCTTTGGAAGGTTTAGGAGAAGGCATAGCAGAAGCATAACCCAAAGCCCTTCGAGGTATCTCAATTATGAAGACCACTTTCACAAGTTATAGTAGAAAGTATGGTGAATGGTATCATCATTCTGATATTTCTGAGAAGGATGAACAGAAGTACAATCATTGACCACAACAGGGGTAGAAGTAGGAGTCCCGGTACCAGGAGAGACCGAATTTCAGTTAGGGATGGCAGTAAAGAGAGGAGTGCAAGACTAGAGCAATGGAACTGGAAAAAAGAACTGGAAGAACTTTATAACATGGATATTGCAGAGTAATTACAAAAAAATACAGCAATATAAATGATTTTGGTCCAAACCAAGATCAGTATTATAAGAAGCAATGACAAAAAAGTGCACATGGATAATACATGAAAATATCGTGGTGGTTGCGAAGCGAAAGTCAAAGTCCTACTGAGAATGTCTTAATCTGATGGTAAATACCTACATAGCCTATCTAATTGTAAATATCTACAGCCACCACCGCAGAGACCAATTAAGAAGAAGTTAGTCGGAGAAGAATAGCAATGTAAACTAATGGTATGGGAAAATTTGTTGTATAGTCTAGAAAAAGAACATTTCACCCAGAGGTAGCAGAGGATGAGGATTTCAGAAAGACGATTGAGGCATATGTATCATCTGAGGAATCAAAATCCTTCATATAATAAAATGAAGTCGGGTATATTGTTACTTACATTGTCAATACAAAAATGATTTTCATCATGTTGAAGAGATGATATTGTTGGTGCGACATCTGATTGTTAAGAAGCAAAGAGTTCTTTCATTTTGAATATTTCTTTCATCGCATCTTCTAAGGTAGACAAGCGATCATTCAATCAAAATCCTTCATATAATAAAATGAAGTCAGGCATATTGTTTCTTATATTGTCAAATAGAAAATCGATTGTCATTACGTTGGAAGAGATGATATTGTTGGTGCGACATCTGATTGTTGAACAGCAAAGAGTTCTTTCATTTTCAATGTTTCTTTCATCGTATCTTCAAATTTAGACAAGCGATCATTCAAGGATTTTTTTCCTCATTCAAGGATTTATTTTCTTTATTCAAGAATTTGTTAACATCTCGAGTTAAATGTAGAGCGGACAATATTTCAGCCTTTGAAGAAGTCCCACCTTTCAAATCATTCGCCTTTACTCCACCCACAAATCCAAAAACATGTCTACGATTTTGTGGCCAACAACATTTTTCAACAATCTCTATAATAGATGGGGATGGATCTTCTTGAACTATTTCCTCAAGTTGAGCCTACAAAATATTTAAAAGGACATTTTCTATCAAAACACAACAATTTTTGGCTATTAACTTATTATATGTAACAAAGGTACACGTTTTTTAATTTCTTCAGGTTCAACAAGGTTGTTATCTTTTTATGGGTCTCAAAGAAAATAGTCGTCAAATATGGTGGATTGCCATCTTTCCCACCCTTCACATCAAATTCAAACAAGTGGAATAACGCAAACCTCGTAACACTCCATCAAGGAAAATAGTTTTTTAACAATAACTTTTGATAAATAATATCTCGAATAGGTTTGCTACCAATACTATGGAGCATCTTCAGCTTATATAGGTTTTTTGAATTTTTGGTTCTTATTGCATGTTTTTGTAAAATGCTAAACTTAATCAGAATTATTATAACAAAATTGTTAAGACATGTGGAGTATCATTCCTGAAAAACTTCAAGTTTGATTCTTAGTAATAAACTTAAGTAGTATACATACCTTAAAACTTTTAGAATTAAAATGTTCCTTTACTAACCATTTCCCATTCTTTTGTGTCTACTCCCCTTGGGATATTCTTAAGATATTGTTGAATTGGCTTATCCATCGCATACATTGCATGTAAGTGCCCTCTCTATTTGTTCCATAACTTATCCATCCATCCCAAGATATGTGTGAAGGAGATTAGATACCAATTTGATTCGAAAGATACCAATCAGAATCATTTCATAGAAAGAGGAGCCAAGAGGATAATAGAGAGATTTTCTTAAGTCCTATAGCATCTCAAGAAAATTTAAGGGAAATACCCATGTCGTTCTGCAAGATTCTATTAGACTCATTTAAGTCCATCGATATCAATGAACTTAGGATCTCATATAAATTTTTTCTTGACCCAGATCATCATGATTGTCACTCACACTACCACTCTTGTGAGAGAACCAAGTTAAATAAACTAAGTTAGAAGTTTTCCATACGCATCAACAGGGATTTTAACGAACAAACTAAAAACTGCGAGAGTAAACAACCTAGAACCAGAAAGGTAATAAATACATCTAACAATGATCCAAGTTTAAACAAGAAGATACTAATGAAAAAATTAACTACACGTCAGGAAATGGTGAAGATTGACGAAGGAGAATCCTAAGACATCCAAGAAAAGTTGGAGCACCCTTGAATTTGAGTAAACGATCAATAATCTTATAAGAAAGGTATGTTACTTGTCGCATGAAGATGCCCTGTACTCAAAAAAATTAGAGGAAGTGTAGAATCTTTACACAACCACAGTATATTGGTAGAATAACACAGTTACCCCTCTAGTGCAACATAAACAATTCAGAAAACATTATAATCACATGCATATAGATCAACATATACAATATTACCAACATGAAGAATCAACAATTCATTTCACATTTTATATCACCTCATTGGTCCTCTGTGGAACTCATTTCAATGGTCCTCTCATGGAACCCAAACCCAAAATGTTAGCTTGTATGAATGTGATAATCTGATCTCATATTTATAACAGTACGTGGCAAACAATCCCATAATTATGCAGCAACGTGGAAAACTAATATATAGTATGCCAGAATGTGGAAATTCGATCGTAGATAGTTATGAAGGAACGTGGCGACCAATCCCATTTACACCCCACAATATCAATCACAATGACATCATCAAGATCTTACAATTAAGTCTTGAGTTCATTCTAATGATAATTAACCTATATCATTTACAACAAGTGTAATCAACATTGCAACATTCATTGACATACAAGTATGATAATGAAGCAAGAATAAGCATATATCCAACAAACAGTCATAACCATCACCTACCTCGAAACAAGCTTGAAATCTTAAGAAACTTAATCCTTCCCTTCACGGATTCGTTCCACTTGTTCTTGGTGCACAAACATTCAATATAATATTGAAATCAATGTCAATCATTACTTACCCAGATTAATAACAATTCTATGAACCCTAGATCAAACCCATGATCCCAACTAACAAGATTAGGGTTGTCTCCACCATATAATTCATAAATGAACCCTCCCCCGTAAATATTCACACATTATATTAAGTTTTATTGATCAAAAAGCAGATTCAGGAGTGAAAAGCTTACTTTTAGCAACAAGAATGGTGAAAAATGAGTATATATCGCATGGTGGTCGTTCCCTAGTTCTAAAAGTCTAAAAGATCCAAATTGGGTCTTTTAGGGGTTTATTTACGAAATTATGTCCAATTTTACCCGCTAAAAAGACCCTCATCTCTCTATAGAGGTGACACCAGAGCCACTCAAGTACTCGCAAAAGCGGCACTTTTGAACCAATGACCTTTTTCTCTTTCATATTTGATTTTATGTCCAGTTGCACCCGCCACAACGACAAGAGTGGAAAAAATTGGACTAGACAGTCAACGAAAGGAATTCCAAAATCCTATTTCACAACACCTTTCTAACTCACTATGATCAGAAAGTACCCTTCACTCTTAAATCAATTCCTAGAGATTTACGTACCCAAGTTTAATTTCATAAAGTCATACGAATTCCTTAACAAGTAATCTAAGTACTCATGCAACAAAAATAAAATAAAACTCCTCCAATTGCTACCAGATTTACCTACTCCTTGGTGGATCTGATTTCCTCTAAATCTAAAGAACGTTTGGAAAATTCAAATACTACGGAAAACAATTCCAGCCCAAGTTTCCCTGTTTCCATTTCTATAATGAGGGGAACATATCATTCCATACATCATATATTAAATCTCAAAGGGTATCCCGAATGGGAATCAATATGTAAAGTTATGGTCCTTCGGTCAAACTTAACCTCAAAGTCTAGATCATTGAAGGAGGTTTGCTCAAATCTATTCCAGCTAACCATTTGGTTTCCCAGAAAATATGGGACTCTAACCCCTTTTAACGCCCATTTCACGATAAACACAACTTGAGAATGGAGTGGTATCCCTATTTGATGATGTACCTTCTATGGACTTAAGTAATTATCCTCCCCTTTGGAGCAAATTTTTTTTGTTGATGTTCCATATCTTACATGGTATGTAACACTCCAGAAATTCCATGACTTAGACTAGTGCTTAATCTATTAAAGAATATTTAAACTGATGTTTCCAGACATATATTAATATAATAAACACATTTGGAAAAAGATTAGAGCAAAAAAGACTAAGAAAGACCTTGATTTCCGGAAACTAGCTAATTAAAGCTAGTTGATGTCCCTATGTTTGGTGAAGGTTTTGTTGTTTGAAATGAAGTACAAAACTTGTAAAAATACCTTGTATAGGTAGTATGTAGTTCAAATCATCCAAATGTCCGGTAACGACATCCCGAAGACTACCCGAAGGGTCCTTGGGAAGGGTCAACACATGGGTGGGCAAGCTGCCTGGCAACCTGCGAGCTGGCTGAATCGGAGGCAAGGCGTGCGACCCGAGCCTGACACGCAGGTCACTGCCTCAAGATTCGGGAGGCAGCCTCGTGACGCAAGGCTGACATGACCCTTACTACCTCAACTAAAAATTTAATAAAAATGACAGGATTTGGCCCCGTGACGGGCAGGTACTTCCCATAATCGTTAAAGTCATATTTTTGTTAATTTAACTTCTTAAAAAGACTCATTTATGTGGAAGTTCATTTAGGTAATTCATTGGTAGACTATATGTGGATATGAGGTCAGTATTAGACAACTTTTACACGACCAAATTAGATTTAAAAGAAAATTCTCTCATCTCTCAAGAATGCTCTCTTGTCGAAACTCCATTGAAAAACAAGAAAAGCTTAAGGAAGAAGATGAATACTTCAAGTTTTTCATCCAATTTTCGTGGATTCTTCATCTATAAGGTATGTGTTTTTCACTCTTTGGATTTCTTTCCTCAAGAGGACTTTTCAATTATAACGTTTCAAGAACATCGATTCTACGGCTTTTACTCTACAAAAATGGATTTTCTTCTTAACTCTAGATTTATCATTTTAGATGAAAAATAAGTATTTCTATGGTCTATTTATCACGAATTGAGGAGTATGTGGTTATTTATGTCTGAATTTTGTGTGAAGAATGTTCTTATCTATCTAATGGTTTCGCATGATTGTTTATACTACTTGATAATATGAAAACGTAGGGATTGGAACTAAGACGAGAATGAAATCTTAAATGACCATTTTCTTTAACCTACATTATACGTTGCTATTGTATATGAATTGAAGAGTTGTTCTGATTATGCTATTGAGTATTTTTCTATGTTATGATTATGAATGTTGTAAGTTGAACGTAGTTTATTGAATAAGGTTCCTCAAAGCAAAAGGTATGTTTTCTATAGTTGTGATTACTCTACCATATTTATGTTAGCCTATAAATCATGATAATATGTTTTGAAAGTAAGTATAATATTGCTATGTGCATATATTGGGCTATGAACAGGTTACTTGTGAGATCATGATAAGAACACGAAAACTGCAAGTTACGATATTCTTTTTAATGCTTTACACAACATTACTATGTTACGTTAATGTCACATACGAAGGGTTATGATGAAAGGAAACTCTCATCTAATCATAAAGAGCTCATGATAATGTTTATATAACGATTTAATCTTTTATGACCTATGATAAGTTATTATAAAACAAAACACAAGCGTTATTCATGAACGGTACTTAAGCTGAGCAGCGCTAAAATAGATATGAGGGGTGTCCCTTCTCTTGTTGAAAGGTAGGTTCACAATCAGTTTCATGAGATTGAGCCTTCTATGTAATGTGCAAGTATGGGTCTCTAATACATCTCCTAGTTCTTGAACTATGTTTCCACCATAGGATACTAGCTAGTGGATCCACCTAGAAAGCTATTTCATGTTAGGTTATACTTTGGCCGGTAGACCACCTACTTTCATTGTGGGATTTTATGACACAGGTTTCCATGTTTAGCTCCCATTGTCTATGTAGGTTAAGGCGAATGTTCCATCATGTAAAATGAAAGACAAGTAAAGGGACGTTTACTAGGGTGACTTGAAGACTCTACTTAGTATAGGTAGGGGTATGAGACTCTACTAGACATTGCACAAGTTGACTCTAAGGGAAATTCTAGGAGATTGTTCTTATGTAATATGCTAACATGAAAGATATATGTTTATGATACATGATGTTACTCTTATATGATGTTTGTCATTATGATTAATATGTTATTGGGTTATATTGTTATGTGAAGTGATTACTACTTATGTTACAAGTTAAATGAGGCAAAACTTTACTTATGGTCTCCCATCTTATCTACTTGGTTGTGTGGGGTTAT